TATGGACTTTGCTTTGCAATTGACTGCTTCTCTGTGGGATGCAGCTTACTTTCCCAAGGTAATGTTTTATACCATATAGAGCAGTAATGCTTTCAATTTTTCTAATTTAAAAAGTATTATGTTGTTTAAAATATATAATTTAAATTATTAGATAGAAAGTACGTCTTTTAATATTAAATATTTTATTTATCTAACAGTTTTTATTTTATAATTTTTTACATTCAAATTATAAGGGATTTTTTTTTTGTAATTATTGCTATAAAAATAAATATACTTACGGAAGGTCCACATGTATATTTTGTAGGAATTGGACGTGCTTGTGGCGAGGAGAGATTTCGAATGTTGAGTGATGGGCTTTCTTCTATTGTTGGTGAATTAGGAAGCTGTTTCCAATCTACGAAGGTTGTTTTAATTTCCAGTTATTTTGTATTAGGAAGGTTGTGTCAACTTCCACTTATTTTGTATCAGGAGTATTATGTACAAGAATTATCAATTAGGGGCTCGAAACTTATCGTGCGTGCCACTTTCATTTTCTATCTTAGGTGTGAGATTTCAGAATTGGGATTTTTTATTTTTTGGTGGATTTCTTCTTCTTGTTGTTGTTGTTTTTCAATTTCTTTTAAAATTTGTTTAATTAAAAAAAAAAAAAAAAACCCACGAACAAAGCGAGCCATGAATTGAACACGCTTAATAAATTCAGAAGGAAAATAGAACTAGGCAAAATCACTTGATCCACTTCAGGTCAGTTCAATTCTGGGGCGATCTCAGACAACTTGCACAAGTAATAGAGAAAATGACTTCCTCAGGAAGGCGAAAGCAAGAATCAACAGACACAATAACAGCTAACAAAAACAAGTTTAAACAATCCATAAGGAAACCAAATATAAGGATATCTAGGATGAGTGGATACTTTTTACGCCCTCCTCTTCCACCTTCACTACTTCTTCCACATTTCACACTGCCATCAAGACTTGTAGCAGGCAAAACAGCAACAGCAGCAGCAGCAGCAGCAGCGGCAGCGGCAGCATTCTCTCTTTCTGTCAAAAACCATACACATATATTCCAAGTTCAAAATCTAACCAAGGTGGACATATTTCAGAACTGATAAAAGATGTATTTGAAGATGAAAAATGAAAATTAGTAACACACCACGCCAGAGCTCTTCATCAAATCTTTTCAAATATTGATCAAGCTGTTGTATGTGTGTATCTACCTGAATCATGATTACATCACAAACAGTCAGAGTATTGAATGATAACCATGCAAAGGAGATTGATCCCAATCCAGAATTCCACATAATGTAGAGCTGCGTCCAAAATTAAGATCTTTAAATTTTGCAATCAAATTGAAATAGCTCACTGCATTTTTGGTGGCACCAGGCACAAAAGCAAGTAGGACAAGGAAAACATTGATGATGAAGAAAAATTCTCCAAAGATGAGATTTATGAAATGTCATTCAGCAATGAAATCTTAAAATGCTTTGTGCTAAAAGTTTTACCATAGGGGAAAGGAAAACCAAAACAACAGATAAATGCTATCACAGACACCATCATTCATCCTTCCTATGGAAGAAAAAGGACCGATTAAATTTCCAGGGAAAATCCACAATGAAATAAATATAATTAACTGTGACTTATTGGTCTGTTTATTCTTTTCATAAGGTAAGACTAACACCCAACCCATCAATGAAATAAATATAATTAACCGTGACTTATTGATTACCAGTCCAATTATGAAATACTGAAACATAAATAGCCATACAATAATACCATACAGACAGAACATCGTAATTCCCACAACTTTTGACCTTAAAATATAATGTGCCTCTGCAAAAGCTAGACAAAATCCTGCTCACATCTAATATGGCAAATGCTAAACGAATTGGATAGTGTCAAGTAAAGCACTGTCCAGGAAAAAAGGGATGGCAATTGCAAACTAAAGATTTGGCAAAAACAGAACAAAAAACAATAAAAGCCAAATATCATACAACAACAAGCATTGCAAATCACATTTAATGAGAATAACATCAAAGATAAAAGTCCATAAGTTAAATATTGAAGTCACAAGGAGAATCAACAGACCAAATCATAAGCTTGAACAGCCAAGGCAACTTTTTCATCTGCAATCCTGATGCTATGCTTTTGCTCATCTAGTGCTTCATCTGAGAATCTAATAAGTGAAGTATCTGGTGTAATATTTCCAGCCCTGACACCATTCTTGATATCCTCTATTTCTTGTTCACAACGTTGTTCATTTTGTCTCACAATTTCTGTTCATAGACAAAACATAAAAATGTGGTTAAGGCCACAAGTGAAAACAGGATGGTAGAAACAGGAAGCAAAGCCAAAATAGAAAACAAAGCCAGATATGTTACAATAACCATAACTTTATCTTTACATATAAAAAGGAAAACAAAAGGGAAAAATGTGCTTCATAACTAGATGCTAACACGGCATCACAAGTTCACACAGCCACATAAACCTGGGGTTCTGGGGGAGGGTATTGCAAAAAATGATCACCTTGATAACTGAACTCACATTATTAACTTGAAGTCAAAACAAAGATCACAAGTCACACAACAATAAAAGCATCTAGAAAAGACCACTTTACTCTTTGGGCATTTGGAAGTTTCACCTATACTACTAGATGCAGCAGAAAACTAACAATAGAATTATGGTAATGAAGAAATGAAGAGAGCATTTACAAAGCAACAATTGTCTCTTTAAAGGACACCTTGCAAACTTTTGTCCAGATCACGGATCAATGCATACTTCTTTTGTAGAATATTTGGTAGGGATTCCAGATCTGTCCAAAGGCAAAACAGTTACCCTATTCAATAACCTAAAGAATAAGGATAAAAAATGTCATCAAGATTTGCCAAAACATCATATATATTGCTCAAACTGGAGGGTCCATACGTTACATCCACCTAATTAACACAACCGAAATCAACTATCCTTTAATTCAAAAAAGATTGGGTGGAATATAAGTGATTTTTCTCTACTTTGCTTGACTTAGGGCCATGCTTCCACAGAGGTGTTTAAATTAATTCATTCTATTGACTGAAAAATGGAAATAAGCCTTGATCTTGAACAATGGTACAGAACAACTTCAATTAAAAAAAAAAAAAAATTTGTGCCCAATTGTAAATAACATGAAGAATTTTCTTAATCAATTTATTCTATGCCAAAGTATCAACACAATGAAACAACAAAGAGAAGGTCCAATCAAAAGTAATTTGCATACACACCCGGTTAACCATTTTACTTGACTATTAAACAACAACTGGTATTTATTAAAAAATAAAATCTGTATAATAATTACACATTGCAACAGACATTATCTGTAATAAGCAACCACAAGCTCTGGTTATCATCATAAACAAATGAGTTTATCCATTCATTTTCCACCTTAAAAGAGATAGTCTTGGAACAAAAAGGTGCCTTAATTTTATTCCCTTCCTACATCCTTAAGTTCAAACTGCATGATACCAAGAAACTAGCCAGGTTTGCTACCTTTTGACATGGCTTCTTGCAAGTAAGCATCCAAGATTTTGCAATTTGCATGAATATTTTTAGATGACCTAATTTTTGAAAGAATTATATGGCATTGGTAAAGATGATTCAAAAACAAAAAAACTCTACAGGAAATAAAGATCAAAATTTTCTCCCTTCCCACCTTTCCCAACCTACAAAAGTTCGGTTTTTTCTTCGTTTCCACCATCCAATGCCAATCACACAACAATCAAAAACTAAATAGATGACGCTAACAGCTTCATGGTCTCTACAGCTTGCTTAATCTTTGGGCAAAATTGATCATCTCACTCCCACGTGGCAAGGGACTTGACATTTGATTTGTCCACTTAGATAAAAAAAAAAAATGAGAAAATTATTTAGGAATAATTTTTTTATATTATTTTTTATATAATTTTATATCATTTAAATAATTAATTCTTTTTAATCATTTAGACATATGATATTAAATGTACTTATTTATTTAATAACATATAAAAATTATATAAAATAATTGTCATTATATTACCA